TGTCTGTAAGGTATGATTCTGTGAGTATGACTATGTCAGGCTGTTGCTTGACTAATCTGTGAGACAGCTCTTCCCAATTTTGGCGCTAACCCCCAGATGTTAGTGAGGAGGACTTTGCAGGGTCAACAGAACTGTTTCTGCTGTTTGTCTTTTTTCCGGTGCCGAGGTCGATGCCAGGTGATCCGTCCGGTTTCATTTCTTTGAGACTTTGTAGCGATTAGTACAACTGAGTGGCTCGCCAGGCCATTTCAGAGGGCAGTTGAGAGACAACCACATTGTTGTGGGTCTGGAGTCACATGTAGGCCAGACCCAGGTGAGGGTGGCAGACTTCCTCCCCTGAGGCAGGTACTAAAGCAGTCTGTGCCCATCTGCAGTAAGTGCTGGACAACATGTAGGCTTGGCCTGTTAATTGGCAAACAAAAACCATGGCACAGCAATCAGCACGGCCAATAAGAAACAACGTTACTGTCTTCTCTTGACATTCAATAGTGTGACCATTACCAAATCCCTCACCATCAAATCCAGCGAGTTACCAAAGACAAGAAACTGAACTGCATCTGCCATATTAAGGAGCTGGATGGAATATCTCTACTTACCTCCAAATAAAGCACAAGAAACTTAACACCATCCAGGATAAAGTAACCCATTTGATTAGCACCTTATCCATCGCTGTAAACATTCACTCCTTTCACAATCAACAGCTTTGTGTATGATCAACAAGATACACTTCAGCAAGTTGCTGAGATTTCTTCAGACAGCACCATCCAAACCCATGACCTCTTCCATCTAGAAGGACAAGGGCAGCCAGGGGTAGGTGCTGGCCCAATGGTATTATCGCTAGACTACTAATCCAGAAACCCAGCTAATGTTCTGGGGACCTGTGTTTGAATCCCTCCACAGAGAAGGTGGAATTTGAATTCAATAATTAAAAAAAGTCTGGCATTAAGAATGTACTGATCACCAGGAAATGATTGCCGATTGCCGATTGTCAGGAAAATCCCATCCGGTTCACTAATCTGGTGGGAAATCCGCCACCCTCACCTAGGTCTGGCCTTCATGTGACTCCAGACCCACAGCAACGTGGTTGACTCTCAACTGCCCTCTGAAATGGGCTAACAAGCCACTTAGTTGTAACAATTGCTACAAAAACTCAAAGAAATGAAATCGGACGGATCACCTGGCATCGACCTCGGCACCGGAAAAGACAACGACAGAAACAGCCCTGTCGACCATGCAAAGTCCTCCTCACTAACATCTGGGGGTCAGTGCCAAAATTGGGAGAGCTGTCTCACAGACTACTCACAGAATCATACCTTACAATGTCCCAGACACCACCATCACCATCCCTGGATATATCCTGTCCCAGTGGCAGGACAGACCCAGCAGAGGGGGCGGCACAGTGGGATACAGTCGGGAGTGTGTTGCTCTGGGAGTCCTCAACATTGACTCCGGACCCCATGAAGTCTCATGGCTTCAGGTTAAACACAGGCAAACCTCCTGCTGATTATCACATACCGTCCTCCCTCAGCTGATGAATCAGTATTCCTCAATGTTGAAAAACACTTGGAGGAAACACTGAGGATGCCAAGGGCACAAAATGTACTCTGGGTGGGGGATTTCAATGCCCACCACCAAGAGTGGCTCAGCAGCAGTGTTACTGATCGAGCTGGTCGGGTCCTAAAGGACATAGCTGCTAGACTGGGTCTGCGGCAGGTGGTGAGGGAACCAACAAGAGGGAAAAACATACTTGACCTCATCCTTACCAATCTGTCAACTGCAGGTGTATCTGTCCATGGTAGTATCGGTAAGAGTGACCATCACACAGTCCTTGTGGAGACAAAGTCCTGCCTTCACATTGAGAATAACCTATATTGTGTTGTGTGGCACTATCACCGCGCTAAATGGGACAGACTTCGCACAGATCTAGCAACTCAAGACTGGGCATCCATGAGGTGCTGTGGGCCATCAACACCAGCAGAACTGTACTGCAGCACAATCTGTAACCTCATGGCCCGGCATATCCCCCACTCAACCATTACCATCAAACCAGGGGATCAACCCTGGTTCAATGGAGAGTGCAGGAGGGCATGCCAGGAGCAACACCAGGCATACCTGAAGATGAGGTATCAGCCTGGTGAAGCCACCAAACAGGACTACTTGCACACCAAACAGCGAAAGCAGCAAGTGATAGACAAAGCTAAGCGATCCCACAACCAACAGGTCAGATCTAAGCTCTGCAGTCCTGCCACATCCAGTCGTGAATGGTGGTGGACAATTAAACAACTCACTGGAGGAGGAGGCTCCACAAATATCCCCATCCTCAATGATGGAAGAGCCCAGCACATCAGTGCAGAAGATAACACTGAAGTATTCGCAGCAATCTTCAGCCAGAAGTGTCGAGTGGATGATCCATCTCGACCTCCTCCAGTGCTCCCTGGCATTACAGATACCAGTCTTCAGCCAATTCAGTTCACTCCACATGATATCAAGAAATGGTTGGAAACACTCAATACTGCAAAGGCTACGGGCCCTGACAACATTCCGGCAATAGTACTGAAGACTTGTGCTCTAGAACTTGTCACTCCCTTGGCCAAGCTGTTCCAGTACAGTTACAACAATGGTACCTACCTGACAATGTGGAAAATTGCCCAAATATGTCCTGTACAGAAAAAGCAGGACAAATCCAACCCGACCAATTCCTGCTCCATCAGTCTCCTCTCGATCATCAGTAAAGCGATGGAAGGTGTCATCAACAGCGCTATCACACAGCACCTGCTCAGCAATAACCTGCTCAGTGATGCCCAGATTCGGTTCTGCCAGGGCCACTCAGCTCCTGACCTCATTACAGCCTTGGTTCAGACGTGGACAAAAGAACTGAATTCCAGAGGGTGAGGTGAGAGTGACAGCCCTTGATATCAAGGTTGCATTCGACCGAGTGTGGCATCAAGGAGCCCTGGCAAAACTGGAATCAATGGGTATCAGGGGGCAAACGCTCTGGTGGTTGGATTCATACCTGACACATAGGAAGGTGGGTGTGGTTTTTGCAGGTCAATCATTTCAGTTCCAGGACATCTCTGCAGGAGTTCCTCGGGGTAGTGTCCTAGGCCCAACCATCTTCAGCTGCTTCATCAATGACCTTCCCTCCATCGTAAGGTCAGAAATGGGGATGTTCACCGATGATTGCACAATGTTCAGCACCATTGGTGACTCCTCAGATACTGAAGCAGTCCATGTCCAAATGCAACAAGATCTGGGCAATATCCAGGTTTGGGCTGACAAATGGCAAGTGACATTTGTGCCACACAAATGCCAGGCTATGACCATCACCAGTAAGAGACAATCTAACCACTGTCTCTTGACATTCAATGGTGTTACCATCACTGAATCCCCCACTATCAACATCCTGGGGGTTACCATTGACCAGAAACTCAACTGGACTCACCACCTTAACACAGTGGCTACAAGAGCAGGCCAGAAGCTGGGAATACTGCAGCGAGTAACTCATCTCCTGGCTCCTCAAAGCCTGTCCGCCATCTACAAGCCACAAGTCAGGAGTGTGATGGAATACTCCCCACTTGTCTGGATGGGTGCAGCTCCAATAACACTCAAGAAGCTTGACACCATCCAGGACAAAGCAGCTCACTTGACTACATCCAGAAACATCCACTCCCTCCGCCACCGACGCTCAGTAACAGCAGAGTGTACTATCTACAAGATGCACTGCAGAAATTCACCAAAGATCCTCAGACAGCACCTTCCAAACCCAAAACCACTTCCATCTAGAAGGCCAATAGCAGCGGATAAATGGGAACACCACCACCTTCAAGTTCCCCTCCAAGTCACTCACCATCCTGACTTGGAAACATATCACCGTTCCTTCACTGTCACTAGGTCAAAATCTTATAACTCCCTCCGTATTGCATTATATATCTATTTTTGATTACATTCACAATGTCACAGAATTTACTGTGGAGCATCAGACTATCTGGCCCAACAAATGCAATTCTAACCTATCGCTAGAAACCGAAAGAACTGCGGATGCTGTCAATCAGGAACAAAAACAAAGTTGCTGGAAAAGCTCAGCAGGTCTGGCAGCAACTATGAAGGAAAAAACAGAGTTAACGTTTTGGGTCTGGTGACCCTTCCTCAGAATGGGTTCTGTTCTGAGGAAGGGTCACCGGACCAGAAACGTTAACTCTGTTTTTTCCTTCACTGATGCTGCCAGACCCGCTGAGCATATCCTATAGCTAAGTGGCATTATATAGCAGTGATGTTGGCTCATGTGGAACTGGGAGCTACATGAGTCATTGAGTCAGACAGTGCAGAAAAGGCCCTTTTACCCTTTCAGCCTGCACCAACATGACTACCACTAAAGGTACACTGATCCCAATTTCCCGCACTTGTCCCATATGCTTGGATGGTATGGTATTTCAAGTGCTCATCTAAATGTTTTTTAAAGATTGTAAGATTTCTGGCCTCCACTACCTTCTCAGGCAGTATATTCCAGTGCGAAAAAGGTTCCAGTGAGTTCCCACTGAACCATGTATTTAGTGTAAATAGCCCAGAAATGTTTAGTTTGCATTGGGATGCTGTGCAGTCCCTGGTCGGTGTCCCAGTCTCCCAGAACCCTCCTGTCGCAGTTGATCAGAAGGGTCTAGGCCCGAAACGTCAGCTTCTCTGCTCCTATGATGCTGCTTGGCCTGCTGTGTTCATCCAGCCCTGCACCTTGTTGTCTCGGATTCTCCAGCATCTGCAGTTCCTACTATCTCTGATCAGTTACTGTCTCATTGTCTTTAAGAAATGATTTCTTGACTCTATTTCATAGAATAGAATCCCTACAATGTGGAAACAGGACATTCGGCCCAACAAGTCCACACTGCCCCTCCGAATAGCATCCCACCCAGACCCATTCCCCTACCCCTACATTTCCCTTGTCTAACCCACCTAACCTAAACATTCCTCAGCACTATGGGGCAATTTAGCACGGCCAATCTACTTACCCTGCACATCTTTTGGACTGTGGGAGGAAACCGGAGCACCCAGAGGAAACTCACGCAGACACGGGGAGAACGTGCAAACTCCACACAGACAGTCGCCCGAGGGTGGAATCGAACTGGGGTGCTGTGGGCCACCATGCTGCAACAACAATCTGTGGCAGAAATGTCTACATTTTAATTATTGCCCGTGAGAAGTGATTTTTTTTTTCTAACTTGCTCTTTTATCGTGATGATTTTAAGATTGTCCCTTACCGTCTTGCCTCACATCTGTTGACCGTTGCAAATCATCAGTGGCTCCTCCCAAACACCACACAGCCCACGTATTTCCCCAGTACAAACAATTCAACCAGTTCCTACTCATGGGCCAGTTCCCAGCTTTACTTTCTCACCTTCAAGTAATCAAGGGTAAATATTGTTTCTTAAAATTAATGGACAGAAGATATTGAGCGAGGGCACGCGGTATGCTGATATATACGCCTGCTAGATGCCAGCAGCTTTTCTATTAGTGAATTTCCAGACATATATAGATTTCAAACCAATAAATTACCTCATAAAACACTGCAAGTTTATCATATACAGATCACTACGTACCTCATCAGAACCCTTCAATTGATTGAGTACGTGCCCTTTCAAAATTGCACGTTTTATTTTAAGAGCACAGAAGGCCATTCAATCCATCATGTCCATACTGGCCCTCCCAAGGAGCAATTCACGTCTTGCTGCTCCACGTCCTGCTCGCCATAGCCCTGCACCATTCATCCTCTGTGTATGTTTGGAAAGCATAGAAAAGATTACAATGTAGAAGGAGATTACTCTGCCCATCAAAATCACACTGACTGGAAAATGAGTCACCGTGTCTCATCCCATTTTCCCTGGAATTGGTTCATATCTCTGGAGCTGACGGGACTTCAGTTGCTAAAGGAGACACCTTTCTGGCTGAGTGGAGGGTTTCTGCCTGTTCTGAACATTCCGGAATGTGACGTTTATGCTGGAGAAAGGCACCACCTGGAGTGTTGCTGCCGGAAAGCTGGGGACATAGAGAGGTTCCGAATAATGGCTCTGCGCTGGGAGATTGAGACAGATAAGTTGTTAGTTGTCACTTACAATGGAAATATATGATGTTATAAAGTCTGTAATATATTATAGCTAGCATTAGTAATAATTTTAGTCCATATAGTCAGGATGTATGTGTTGTTTTAACAATTACCTTTGAAGAACGTCGCTCCCTCTTAATTTACTTCTTTGACAATAGATAGATTTGAAATTTCTTGCAGTTGGCAAAAGAACATTGGATTCCATAACATAATTACAAAAATGTGGTTAAACAAACATAGCTTACTTGTTGTCTTTGCTTTAAAAGCAGCAAGGGTCACATAATGGAAGATAAAGAAATTGGCAGAAGTCAGCTTTAGGGAGCAAAACATCAATGATCTGTATAACAGGAAACAATTCTCTGTCTGATCTAGAGGCTGGTACTAGATTTCTCTCGATCCTTATTTAGTGGATCTCACTGGACATTGCTCACAACAGCGCTGACACAACAGCAGGAAGAGGCCAAATTTATACCAAGCCAAGCATCAGATATAGATTTTGATTTTGGGTGAAACTCTCAAATTAAAGTTACTGTGTCAGCAGCGAACCTTCCATTGAAGTCAATGAAAATTTGGGGAGATGTAGAAGGGCCTGAAGACTTGCTGTTGTCTATTTTACACTATCCACTATTTTACACTATCCACTATTTTACGGTATTCACTATTTTAAACAGGAAATGGTCAATAGCAAGTCAACAAAATCTTCTATTTCCCCAGTTGTCCAATTTAATTTCCATTTGAAAGTCAGGATCTATCCCAAAGTATTCTGCTGCTGAGTACATACCTTTGGCATCTATCCCTCTAAGGGCACATAGTATTAACACATCTCGCTAGGTCAATTATAGCTTAATTGACTTCTGATATATATTCTGGTCAACAAAAGGTTCCAGTGGGGTTTCTTTTATATAGTGAGCCTGACTTTGAAAGTCAATGAGAAAGTATTTGCTTTGTAGTGATTGAGTTTCTCTCTATATATAGGGAAGTAATTGACTTCTGTTCATTTGAAGGCGGGCACATTATTCAGTGAGTGTTATGGCTCTTGAAATGTGTCAGATTTACATATCCTAGAAGATAGAGTTATAGAGCTGTACAGCACAGAAACAGACCCTTTGGTCCAACTCGTCCATGCTGACCAAATATTCTAAGTTATTCAAGTTCCATTTGCCAGCATTTGACCCATATCCCTCTAAATCCTTCCTATTTGTTTAAAGTTTTTGAGAAGATTTGTAGCTCGGGCTGTGGATGAGGTTGTAGACATGCTTGCCAAGTGCTGGGTTTGGTCGCATCCTGCTAGGTAACATTGTCAGTGTGCTCACGTTGAAGCATTGGTGTTCTGTCCTGTTTGTTATTTATATGCCTCGGTTTGCTGGGGTGGTTGGCATTACTTCCGGTTCTGTTTCTCAGTGGTTTGTACACAGGGTCTAATTCAATGTGTTTATTAACGGAGTTCCAGTTGGAATACCAGGCCTCCAGGAATTCCCTGGCGTGTCTCCGTGTTGGCTTGTGTGATTATGGACGTGTTGTCCCAGTTGAATTCATGTCCCTTGTTGCCCACGTGTAGTGAGACAAGTAAGAATTGGTCATGTCTCTTGGTGGCTAGTTGGTGTTCATGTGTCTTTATTGTCAATTTTCTTCCAGTTTGGCCTATGTAGTGTTTCTCACAGTCCTTACATGGTATTTTGTATATTACCCCAGTTTTGCTGGTTTTGGGTACAGGATCCTTTATGTTCATCGGTAGATATCGTAGAGATACCCAAAAAGCACAATATGCCATTATTTCCGAGACAGACCACAACAGGAAGACACAACACAACCAGATTCACTAATCACTCTAACATACATCAAGGACATTTCAGAGATAACCGCAAAACTACTCAGACTCCTAGGTATCAGAGTAGCCCACAGACCAACAACCATCCTGCGTCAGCTACCCCAATACCAACCACCCCAGCAAACCGAGGCACATAAACACACTCAATCCTTGTGGCCCTTAGGTTAATCACCATCCAATTTCTGTTTGAAATCACTGATTGTCATTGCCTCTATAACTCTCATGTGCAGAGAGATCTCGGCATTATTTTTCACATTCCCCGCATCTCCTGCCCAAAAGTATAATATCTGCACCCTCTAGGTTTTGCAACATCAGCGAATGTCATAGTCCTTAACTCTATAATGCCGTCTACAGTCGGTACCAACTTCACTGAATATTTCCAACATTGGGGAGAGAGAGAGAGAGACAGTTTCTGGAAGCCAGAGGAACTGTGAAGAAGCCAAAGTAGAGTTATAGAGTCATGGAGTCATACAGCATGGAAACAGACCCTTCGTTCTAATCCATGCTGACCATAATCCCAAACTAAACTTGTCCCACCTGCCTGCTCTCGGTCCATATCCCTCCCACATTTCTAAATCATGTACTTATCCAAATGTCTTTTAAACATTGTAACTGTTCCTGTATATCCACCACTTCCTCTGGAAGTTCATTCCACACACAAACCACTCTCTGTGTAAAAAACGTTGGCCAATATGCCTTTTTAAAATCTTTCTCTTCTCCGCTAAAAAATCTTCCCCCTAGTCTTGAAATACCCCACCCTAGGGAAAAGGCCTTTGCTATTCATCTTATCTATACTTCTCAAGATTTTATAAACTTCTTTCAGGTCACCATTCAACCTCCTATGCTCCAGTGAAAAAAGTCCCAGCCTATCCAATCTCTCCTTATAACTCAAACCCTCCAATTCTTTGCAACATCCTGATAAATCTCATCTGAACCTTCCCCAGCATTATAATTTCCATTCCTATAACAGGGCGACCAGAACTGGACACGATACTCCAGAAGAGGCCTTACCAACGTTCTGTGCAACTCCAACTCCAATAGTCAAACGTCTGAGGAATGAAGGCGAGCATGATAAACGTCTTCTTAACCACCCTGTCTACATGTGATGCAAACTTCAAAGAATTATGTACATGAACCCTGAGGTCATGAAGGTAATTTTGGATTAGGATTGTATCATTTATACCTCATGATATTCTAATACACTTAATCTCAGCCAACTCAGGACTTTTCGAATTACTTATTTGAACTTTTGCATCATGGTTTAAAATCTTATCCGATAGGACACAGGTCTGATGGTAAACAGTCACTTCCATAGCACTCAGAGATAGTAAGAACTGCAGATGCTGGATTCAGAGACAACAAGGTGTAGAGATGGAGGAACACAGCTTCAGAGTAGCAGGGAGGTTGACATTTCGGGTCAGGACCCTTCTAAGAAATAGGGGAGGGGTAAGGGAGCTCAAAAATAATTAGAGAGGAGGGGTGGGGCTGGGGAAGGTAGTTGGGATGGTGACTGGTTGGTGCAGGTAGGGAGTAGTGGGGATTGGTCAGTGAGGTGGGAAGAGCGGATAGGTGGGAGAGAAGATGGACAGGTTGTGTCAGGTCAAGGAAGCAGGAGGGAGGGGGGGTGCTGGGAAAGGTAGGTGGGATGGTGATAGGTTGAATGCAGGTAGTGGGTCGTGGGGATTTGTTGGCAGGCAGGGTGGGATAGATCGGTGGGAAAGAAGATGGACAGGTTGTGTCAGCTCAAGGAGGCGGGGATGAGAGGGAGGGTTGGACATGGGAAGAGGCCGGGGGTGGGGAGATTTTAAAACTGGTAAAGTCCACATTTAAACCATTGGGCTGTAGGCTCCCAAGGCGGAATATGAGGTGCTGTTCCTCCAGTTTGTGGGTGGCTTCATTGTGACACTGGAGGAGGCCCAGGATGGACAGGTCGTCCAGGGAGTGGGAGGGGGAGTTGAAACGGTTTGTAACCGGAAGGTGTTATCGTTTGTCACAATTGGAGCGCAGGTGTTCTATGAAATGGTCCCCGAGCCTCCGTTTAGTCTCCCCGATGTAGAGGAGGCCACATCGGGAGCAGCAGATACAGTAGACCAAGTTGGAGGATGCACAGGTGAACCTCTGTCTGATGTGAAAGGTTTGTTTGGTGCCTTGAATGGAGGTGGAGGGGGAGGAGTAGGGGCAGGTGTAGCACTTCCTGCTGTTGCAGGGAAAGGTGCCGGTGGGTGGTGAGGTTAGTGGGGAGTGTGGAGCAGATGAGAGAGTCACAGAGAGAGCGGTCCCTGCAAAAGACAGATAGGGGTGGGGAGGGAAATATCTCTTTGGTAGTGGGGTCAGACTGTAGGTGGCGGAAGTGGCGGAGAATGATACGTTGGATGCGGAGGTTGATGAGTGAAATGTGAGGATTTGGGGGATTCTGTCATTATTTTTGTTGG